AAGGGGCTGTGGGCTCAGGGCAGGAAGATCTTAATTTTCTTTTCATTGCTGCAATGAAGCTCTGGGCAGGCAGGCTGACAAAGTGTGGCCTTTGAAGTCCCAAGAGATTTGTTCTTTGAAGCTTTCAATCTGTCCTGCCAACCATTTGCTGTTGCTGTAGGGTACCTAACCAGGAAACAACTCGGGTGCTTCCTCCAGCAGAGAACAGCACAAGGATGGTACTTAGTACCAAAGAAACCATTTCCATTAAAAAAAAAAACAAACTAAAAAAACAGTTTTAAAAAATATCACTTCCCTCTGTATCACCAGAATAACAAAATGGTAATTTCCAATTTCCTCTTCTATATTATTATATATATATATATATATATATGAGCATGTGTAAAAAAGTATTGATGGTTTCCCCCTTTGATTCAGTAGAGCAATTCTCTACATTTTATAAAATCCTTTGGCGAATGAAATTTAACCTTCACAAAGCAACACTTCTAGTGGGAAAGGTAATTAGCCACATAACTGGTGACTTATGACCTGGCTTCAGCACACCAACTGCAGAAGTAGAGCAACTTAAATCCCTAGGTAGATGTAAAAAGGCAAAAAGAATGAGGAATGTTATTGTGGTGCATTATCACAGGGATTTGATACAAAAGCCAGAAGGAGACAAGGGCAGGTGCAGCACATAATCACTTTCTCAGCCAGCAGGTCCTGGTCAAGAGCTGGTTTGGATCTGAACACTTGGTCCAGTGACCAATATAAGCAAATTAGAAATACTTCTCTCTGTCAGCTATGATTTAAACCTAATAACATGTGGAAAAACAAAACAAAAAAAAAACAAACAAAAAAAACCTTCAGGTTTTTTTTTTTGGACATGACTGTGATTACTTTGGAAAAAGTAACTTGGAAGCAACCAAAGATGCTGGGCAGTGAGTACACAGACTCTGTGAAAAACTCACCAGTTAGAAATGCTTACCTGCCTGTATTGCACTGATTTAGACATGAAAGTGCTATTTAAAAATCACTCTGAACACCATCAACAGCAGAATATAGAAGATACTTTTTTAAAAACAAGATAATTCAGAAGTATTAATAATTATCTTAACAAGCTCCTCTTAAGAGAAAAACAAAGCACACACTGGGTGCTCTGCAGGATAACCACTGATTACAGCTGGGAATAACCACAAACAGATTAAACAACAAAGTGTTGTGTGACAGGAAGGAGACTGAAATAATATGAAATATTCCCACTCCACAAAAATAGCCCAGGCACTGTGATGTCCTCTGGAGTTTCCAGAACAAGAGTTGTCTCTTTCCACAATCAGTGTGCTTGTACCTATTTACGTACTTGCAGTAAAGAATTCCCAGCGCTGACTCCTTTCTGATGCCCCATTCCCAGGAACAGCCACTGCAGTAGCTCCTGGAACAGCCCCTCAGCATCAATGTCCAACAACTCCTCATGGGTTAAAAAACCTCCTTGTTTAAAAAGCAGTACAGCCTTCCCTGCACCAGCACAGCAACAGCAGCACTGTTCTCACTGATTCCATCCTTTTCCTCCTCTGGGAGCACTGAACACCCACCCCTGCCCCCCCCCAAGGCTTCCCATGACAGAAGGGGCTGCACAGAGCAGCCCAAAACAGAGGGGAACCCCTGGCTACAGCTTTGCCAAAGGCAGGGGCAGGGCAAGCCGAAAGGTCCATCAGAAAAGCCCAAGATCCAGTGGATTCCCTCCTTGCAGGGAGCTGGAGATAAAACTCCACAGCTCCAAAAACCCAGTGGATACCCCCCTGCACAGCTCTGCACATCCCATCTCTGCATCCTCCCTCAGAGTTCAGATATCCAGAGTACCCAAACTCACCGTTCTCAGGCCTGATTGCTTTGGAGTAGAAGTTTGTGGTGTTTTCTGAACTTTTTCTGTCCTGCTGGTCCTCCACCTGATCATACAGAGCACCCAAAGCCTCAGAATCAAGGACATCTCCTGAGAAAGCTCCCAGAGCAATGCTCTGGGCTGAAGACAAGGCAATTCTGCTCAGTGCTGCTAGTATAAAAACGAGTCATTTGTTGCTTCAAAACAGCAGCTTTGGCATTTTTAAACCTTTGGAAAACTAAGTCTTGACACAGAGACTGGGGCAGTGTAAGACAGGCTGGAGGCTGGGCACAGCTGTGAGCAAGGCTGGGAGACCTCCTCAGAAAGGGGCTCTGCAATGTGTGAAAGCCAAGAGTTTATTATCCTCAGCAAGAGGAAAGGACAGAGGAGCTCACAGATAAAACAGCTGCCTCGATGGGAGATGCAGTGATGAGTTCGTTCAGAACCAGCAGACTCTGCTGCCACATGGAGCCTCTTTTCACACCATTTCACTCCTCATCAGCCTTAGAGATCTGCTCAGGTGATAATAGGAGCATTTTTTATTTCCAAATCCTGCAATTCCAATACCCTGTGGGTTAACCCCTCCTCACCATTCAACCACCACCAGCCCTGGAGAGGCACCACCTGCCCTGCTGTGCTCTCAAGTACCAGAGCCTGACAATAAAATCAACTTACTACCGAGCATAAGCACACACAGGGCACCACTTTGCAGAAGCTGCTCCCAGGGAGCAGATCTCACTTCCCCCCATGCCTGAGCTGGTTTACAACTGCAGGAACATTCAGCTGGCTTCCATATTTCAGCCCTTTGAGCAGAGACAGTGCAATCCACGCAAGCCACCCAAACTGCACACCGCAGTTTGTCACCCAGAACAGATTGTGTAGATACTCACCAGCACAGCACAGCACCCACGCTGCTGATGGAGAGCTTTCACTCACGGGAGCACACATCAACCCCCTCATCACTGCTGGAGCTATGGGAGACCTGCCAACAGCTCACCTGCCTGGGGTGGCTCCAGGTGCCCTTCTCGGGCTCTGGCCCACACACAGCCCTGCCCAGTGACACATCCCGGGGTGACCACACCAGCCCCCCGCACCAAACACTGCCTGTGCTGAACGCTGGTGGCACAGAGTTCCCTCCAGCACCCACCCCACCAATACATGCCTGCATCGCCCCAAAACCCCCAGTAAGACCCCATGGGAGAGCTGGGGGCAGCTCCAGCATTAGCAATACAAAGCCAGGCTTGGAGCATCTCCCTAGAGTGCACTAACACTGTAGCAAACTTGAGCCTCATTCCTGGCACAGACACATCCCCATACCTTCCACCCAGCTGGGGCATGGGACACTGCAGTAAATCACAATTAGCATCCACTCCAACCCATTGTTCCTCACTGTCACTAAGTGGTGCAGCCAGAAGGGCTCTACACTCAGGGAACATCTTTTCCTCTTGTTTGCACAGGGATTTGAAGCCCAGATTACAGCTGTCCAGGCACAAGGAAGATTACAACTCAGCCTCAGATTAAATTCTGAGGTAGAAAATCACCCAGAGCCACCAGCTGCAGGGATACCCTCATAGATAGGAGTTTCAACCAAAAAAAATATTGCTGTGCTTGGCATGTTGCCCTCTCTGCTGCTCACAACCAGCCCCAGACCACATCTGGGCATGGGATGCTGGGGACAGGCTTCCATCAGGGACCCACAGTGGCATCTGCCCAGCTGGCCACAGTAAGCCAGACCAGCAATGAGATTCTTCTGGATCTCACAGTATTTTAGCTGGGGAAAAAAGGGTGTTGAAAACTTGCTGGTGTTGCCCACCCACTTCACAGACCTTGTGCCGAGGCGACTGCAGGAACCCCACACAGCGGTGCTGGGGCACATCACAAGTTTGGCCACACAATGCACCACTGTGTAACCATAGTTTTAGGGGGGCAGGCTAGAAAAAACACCCAGAAACTCAAGAATCCAAGCAACCCTCTCAAGAGGTTCCCCATAGTAGATAAACCACTCAAAAAAGGCTGAAGTTAACCCAACATTTAGCACAGGACAGCAACGCAGCAGCAATCTCAACACCATGTCCATCAAGCCTTGCACACCCCAAGTTCAGCTCCCTCCCTTTCCAAAGCACCCAGGTCCCACCACCCAGCACAGAGACTCTCCCAGCTCTTACCTTCAGCTTCTACAGCAGCCTCAGATCCAGCCCCACTTCTGGCCACACCATTCTGCCAGTCACAAACCACAGGGTCCCCACTCCCAGGGCAGCAATTCCAGATGGGAGTGGAGCTGCATCCTAACTTTAAGGCTGAGAGAGTCAGAGCTAATAAAAAAAAAGGAGCATGACCATGGCTTAAGGGTGAGTACTGAGTGGTCATCCTTCTGGCCCTTCCTAGCAAAGATTCTCCTTGAATTAGCAGCAGCAAGATGCATCTTCTGGTGGAAAAGGTTGTTGAAGGCTGTAATCCACAATCAGCAAAAAAAACCTCCTTTATTTCCTACTTGTTTACTGCAACCACATTTAGTGAAATCCACTGAACACAAGTTTTATTTTAATATGTTTTTATTGGCAAGTTCATAGCCATTGACATATTACAGGAAACCCCAAAATGTGCTTCCCTGGACCACCACAAGTGTTCATGGGGTTTCCTTTTCAGGTCGTGTTTTGGGCTTTTTTGGTCTTTTTAAATGGTGGACAAACCTCAGAATCAAAGTTTTCTTTCTTCGTGTGCCTTGAAGCTGTGGAGCCAGCAGCAAGGACAGTCCTGTGAGCAGCCATCACTGACACAAAGCCACACTGTCAGCGATGAAGGTCTTGCGGTTTACAGATGGATACCGTGCAATTTTTCTCCTACTAAACTAATCAAAATTGCATCGTGATCCACCCGACAACAGCAAAACAAGAGCTTTACCAAACTGGCAAATTTGGGGCAGTTCAGCCTGATGACAAGTCCTCCTTTCCTCCACAGGCCGGGACAAGTGCAATACTCTACATACAGCTACAAGTAATGCAACAAATCCCCACCCATGGAGAAATCAGTGCAAGGCATCTTCAAATCTTCCATTTGAAAGGAAAAAAAAAAGGGGGAGGGGGAGGCAGGGGAGAAGGAAAATAAAAAAGCTTGAAAACCCATTATTCACCACAGATTCACCACCACCACAGTCAGTTTTGCATGGATTTGCACAGCAATTTTAGTAAGCTGGGATGCAAACCTGCAAAACTGACTGTAATCAGCACCAACTCCTCCAGCAACTGGCACTGGCTAGGATGCACTTTATCTAGCAGTACTGTAAGTGCCCACATTACAGTAGGTCCATTTCCAAGCTACCTGCACTATGAGCACTTTGATACTGCTAGGACAAAACTACTTCCCGAGCATTTGCCTTCAATGGAAAAGAAATCCCTTTAACTAAAAATGGTAATTGCCGAGCCAAAGCCAGATGGACACAGTTCCTTTGGATGTGCAGGCAGCAGCTTGTGCCAGAAGGAGCATTTAGGGCAGTAGATTCTACGCTACATCACTAACTGCACTAGATGCACCTTAACACAAGGACCTTTTGCAGCGTGGTCTAAGGCAGCACAACAATCCTGGTTTCGTCCGTGCCCTGCCACCACCACGGAATCGCCACAGTAATGCCAGAAGTGCTTAAACTGCAGTAGATCCTGAACTCTACCTGCACTGTAAGCACTTTTGCACAACTTGAGGCCCATCACCAGACACAAATTCTTCAATTTCAAGGTCTTGTTTCAGCGCAGCTAAAGCATCACAGAAGTATCTTGACTGAAGAACAGGAGCCAACAATACCTGCCAAGAGAGAAGACCAATATTAATGTTGCATAACACATATATGGATTTGCTTCTCAATTTAGAAGCGATTTTTCCTATTAAAGCATAGAGAAGAAATAGGTCCAAGAGTTTTCAGAAGGCAGTTGAAATGTGGGCACACAAAACGAGGAAAGGTTTGCAGCTGGTTTTCCCTTGAATTAAGGTAAAAATGGCTTCTTCCAGATTTTAGTGGCAGTTAAAAAGCATAGTAATAGGGATCAAAACATCCCGGTTTCCTGCTCTCATGTGTTACTACAGCACGAGAGACATTTTAGATGACCTTCCTCCTGGAGCTTTACCGAGGGTCTTGTATCACCAACCACCAAACATTTTCCCCGCCAGCAGTGTAAGTAAAGTTCTGACAATGATCCGCACCCTCCGCATCAAATAATGGAGTATCTGTACCTCAGATGATGCGTGAGCTGCGGTGCGGCACAAAAGCGTCGGACGCACCGCACAGGAGGGGAGGGAGGAAAATGTCCTATTAACAAATTTCCATTTCCCTCCGGAGCCGCGCTGTCAGAACGCGGCCTTACAAACCTGCGGGGGTGGGAAGGCTCCGGTCGGGGATGCCCCGGGGCAGCGGAGCCGCCCCCCGAGGGGCTCTCCCGAAGTGGAGCTGCTCCGGGTGCCGGTGGCTGTGCCCGGGAGGGCCCCCACCGCCGCGGGGCATTATCTGCCCCCGGGCCGCCGTTATGTCCCAGCACTGACCATCTGCTCGGGGGGGCGGGCACCGGCATTACTCGGCCCCGCTCGCCACGTGCACGGCGTCCCCCACGCCCGGTGCCACCGGAGCATCCCCGGGGGTCCGGCCCGGCGCTGGCAGCGGCACTTGCAGAGGGGGAGCGGCGGCCCCGTCCCGGGAGGGCTCTCGGGGCGCCCCGCCACGTGCTGCCCGCCCCGTCCGGGGCCGCGCGCGGCCGCCGCGGCGGAACAAAGCACGGTGGGAAATGCAGTCCTCCATTCAAAGCCCCAAAAACGCGCCAAGCCGCCCGCCCGCCCCCCCTCCGCACCCGCCGCCGCCCCGAGGGACCCCGGCCCGCCCCGCGGCCCCGGGGCGGCGGGGAGCGGCCGGCGCAGCGCCAAGTTGCACCGAGGGCGGCTCCGCACGGCCGCGGGCGGCCCCTTTGTCCCGGCCCGACGGGGCAGCGCGGCCGCCTCCCGCCGCCGCGTCCGCGCCGCTCCGGCTTCCCCGCGGCCCCCGCCCCGCCCGGTGCCGCCGTCCCGGCCCCCGCCCGCTCCTGCCTGCGCGGGGGCCGCCGCGGGGGCGCGCGCGGGGACCGGCGGAGCCCCGACGGCGGCGGCGGCTCCGCCGAGCGCGTGGTGCGGCGCGCGCCCGACCGCCCCCTCCGCCCGCGCGCGCGCGCCGCCGGCCCGCCCCCCTCCGCACTACAACCCCCAGCGCGCCCCGCGCTCGCCGCGCATGCGCACCGCCGACACCGCTCCCCCCCCGCCGCCGCCATGTGCTCGCCGCGCGCGCGCCCCCTCCCCCCCCCGCCCCACGCACCGGCCACGCGGGGGCGGCGCGAAACACCCACTCACCCCCCCCCCCAAACACACACACACACCCCCTCACCGCCCGGGGGGAACACGCGGGGCCCCCCAAAAAACAGCCCCGACCCCTCCATCCCCGGCCCCCCCATTCCCCGCACCGCCCCGAGTTTCGGCCTCTCCCGCCACCGCCGCCTCCCCGGTCCATTGTTGGTGCCGCGGGAGCCGAGGACGGGGCGGGCGTGGGGGGCCCCGCGGTGCGGGGGAGCCGCGGGCCCACGCGGGGCGAGCCCTGCGCGCTCCTACAGGTGGGTGGCGGCCGCCCGCGCCCCGCAGAGCGCCGCCGCCCCCGCGCCCCCCGCACCGAGCCCCGCGGCGGGGGTGCCCGTCCCGGTGCGCGTCCCCCGCCCCGGGCAGCCCGGCACTGATTGCGGCGGGGCTCGGGAAGGGTGCGGGGCAGAGAGAAAGAGAGAGGGGGAAAAAAGAGAAAAGAGATAAAATGACTAAAATAATAGAAGAGGTGCAAAGCGGGGAGTGCCCTTGGGCTCGCGCCGGTTTTGGGAAGGCGAAACAAAAAAAGGAGCGCGAAGGAGAGAGCAGGGAAAGGGGAAGATAAACACGGTACCTTAGAGCCGAGCTGAGCCCTGGAATAAAAAGGGTTTTACGAAAGTGGCGCGAAGACAATATCATGTGATCGGGCCAGGGCGGCTCCTCCCGCCCGGCCAGCCAAAAACGGGGAGAGGGATCGGGGGGAAGCGAGCACATCCGCTCCCCGCGCCATTAGCATAATTAATTGTGTCCTGCAGCTGCGGCCGCCGCTGCCCGGCCAATGGCAGCCTTCGCCCCCGGCCGCCCCTTCCTCCCGCGGGGGGATGGCGATGGAGGAGACCCCGGGCAGGGCCGGGACGGGGCGGGCCGGCCGCGGGGTTCGGCGGGGATGGGGAGTGAGGGATCGGGAGTGAGGGGATACCGAGGGGATTTTGGGGCGCGGGGGTCGCGCCCGTCCCTCGTGGAACGCGAGCCGCGGCGGCCGCCACGGCCACGCGTGGCCGCAGCCGCTCAGGGCCACCAGCGCAGTGATGGGAGGAAACTTGTGCCGTTTTGGGGTGAAAAGCCCCGAAATGACGTGGCGGGTCCCGTCCCGGCCGAGCTGGGCTCACGCCGTGCGCCCGCCATGGCCTCCCAGCCGCGGAGCGCCCAGAGGTGCATCCCGAGGGGTCCCGCTGCCCCCGGAGCCCCCCGGGCGCCCCCCGAGCGCTCTCCCCGCGCCCGGGCTGTGCTGCGGACCCCGGCGCGGGGGGCTCGTCCTGCCCTGCCGGGCGGCCCTCGCAGGAATGCTAAAAATGTGCTAATTGTGCCCTGCCAGCGGCCACGGTTCCTCAGGGATTAGGAATAATCATCTTTGTAAAAAGAGTAAATAACCTCAAATCGATTGATAACGAACAGTTTTGCCCCACTTCCCCGGGCGGCTCTGCTCGGTTCGGAGAAAAAGCCCCAAAAGTGCCTCAGAGCTCACCCCGATCACCGGGATCTGAAGTCAGAACAAAATGTCCCCATGGAAACCGGGCAGTATCTATCGGGACTGCGTTCGCACACAACGAGAAAAGCGCTTTTGTGTCGTCGTCCCCCCACCCCAGCCCGTATTTATTACTGTTTAATTTCTTTATTAGGAGTCCTCGGCCCCATCCCGCAGGTCGGAGGGCGAGGCCGGCGAGGTGCCGCTCGTGTGAGGCCTCAGACAAAGCGGCCGAGCCCGGGCGCGGCCGGAGCAGGCGGGGGGCTCGGCACACCGGCCCCGGGCTCCTGCTGCATTTTCACAAACTGCGATTTGCTTCTTCTTCATCACTGCAAATCCTCAGCCGGCTTGCTCTCTGCAAACTTTGCTGCTGCAGTGCCCGGGATTGATACGGGATTTACTGGTTCGGAGCTGCAGGGAGATCACGTGTAATGGAGGACGCAGTCAAATTCGAAATTTGAATTTTCTCCGGATTAGGCAAAGTGCCTTTATGAGGTCCCGACCCACAAATGCTAAAGGAGAGAAAAATACTCAGCACTGAAGTCAGCGATTTAGCTTGGGTGTGTGAATTTGTTATCAACACCTCTGCAGATACAGAATAGTCAATTGACACAACAATGGAAAATGCAAAAGTGTCCCAGTAACTCATATGTGCACAACAGAGAAAACTTTCCCAAGGAAAAGACACTTCATGTCTATCTCTGCAAAACAAAACTTTTTTAAACTGGCAGCAAATAAACATGACACAGTACTAGAAAACTTTATATAAAAATGTTTTATACGCTGTGTGTTGATTTTTAATTCTTTAATATAAACATTAGTATCATAAGCATATTCAAATCTTATATATGAATAAAGTTACACATAAGGGCAGGAGTTTTTACTCAATTCACGCTGCAAATTGATTATCTCTTTTTGTCAGTTCAGAAATAAATTAGTCTTTCAACAAAGACAGCCTGAAAATGGTGAAATAAGTCTACATGACGTGTTGCACAGATAAGATTAAATGGTATTTTTACATCCTCCTGCTGACCTTTGACTTGTGTTTTTGTGTATCTTGGAAGGGAGTCCTGGGGTCTGCAAATACATCAGTTGCTAAAAAAAGTAATGGTCAAAGAAAAAAAGTTCCAAAACTTTTCTTAATATTTTAAAGGGTATTGTGCAGTGAAAGCAGTTCTCTGCCATGTCAGCTGGGCAGAGAGTTTTGATGGCCTTTTCAAGCACACGGTGATTTATAGGTTGCAAGGTGGTGCTTGTAAAACACGTTACTGTGGGAAGGTTTTGGAGGTCTCTTAGCAAAACTAAGCGAGGTGCAATCTATATGCAGAGACAGGAAAAAAAACTTTTAAAAATTACTGAAAATCACTTTGAGAGTTTATTCTGAAAATCTATACCTCACCTTTACAACAAATATACTGAAATTTTGATATTTTTTTTTTCCTGTAATGGAACCACATGTATGCATATGTGATGAGAAGATATTTATGTTTCCTTCACTGCACTTTTCTTCTCAGTGCTACAAATAATTCTGTTCTCTCTCTTCTTGGTTACTGATTCATTCATACTCTAACAACTATGATCAAGGCTTGCCTTGGACTCTCTGCTCTACTTCTATTCCCTACCAAAATCAGAATTTTTGTCTGAACTTTTTCATACTGGAGAAGGCACAATGAATTGTGCTGAACTATCCAAATGCATAAAAGAAATCAGAAACGACTAAGAGGGATGAATCTTCATGAAACAACAAATTTCTTTTCAAAACAAACTATCCAAAGATCAGTTCCTGTATGGAAAGATTTCTGACAGATTAATAAAATCTAACTTATTTTCAAAATTTTGGGAATAGTTGAAAGCCTGCAGGTCTTCTCAA